GTAGCCTTTTGTGCCTGGCTTCTTTCACTTAGCACTAGGCTCTTGAGGTTCATTCATGCTATAAATGCATCAGTACCCCATCCCTTTCCATGGCTGAATAATATTTCATCCTGTTGATTTTATTTATTCATTCATTGGTTGATGGATGTTTAGATTGTTTGCACCTTTAGGCTACTCTGAATAGCGTTGCCATAAACATTACTGTGCAAGTTTTTATGTGGACACATGTTTTCCTTTCTCTTGGGAATATACCTGGAAGCAGAATTTCTGGGTATATATTAACCATTTAAGAAATTTGCCAGAGTGTTTTCTGAAGTGGCCACATCATTTTTACATTTCTACAAGCAAGTGATGAGGGTTCTAATTTCTATACATCCTTGGTGAAACTCATTATCTTTTTTATTCTTGGTGCACTAACTGGTGTGAAGTAATACCTAACTGTAGTTTTGATTCACATTTCCATGATTACTAATACTGTTGAGCACCTTTTCAGGGGCTTTTGGGCCATTTTTATATCTTCTTTGTAGAAATGTCTGTTCAGGTCCTTTGCCCATTATTAATTGGATTATTTGTCTTTTTATTATTGAATTGTAAGAATTCTTTATATATTCCAGACACAAATCTAATATTAGACATATGATTTATTAATATTTCATTCCATTTTTCACTTTGTTGATAGTGTTTTCTGAAATATAAATATTTTTAACCTACATGATGTCCAATTTATCTTGTCATTGTGGTTCGTGCTTTTAATATCATATCAAAGTATTCACTGCCCGATCCAGGGTCCTGAATATTTACTGTGTTTAATCCTAAGAGTTCCTAACAGTTCGATGGTTTTAGCTCTTCTACTTAAGTTTTTGAACTATTATGAATTGATTTTTGTGTACAATGTAAGGGTATAGCTTCATTCTTTTCCAGGTGGCTATCCATTTATTCAAATGACTTCTGTCCATTCAATCGTTTCAGCATCCTTGTAGCAAATCAGTTGATTATGGACACACGGGTTTATTTCTGGACTCTTCATTCTGTTCCATCTATCAATATGTTGGTACCACACTGTCCTGATTACTGTTGCTTTGTTGTTAAGTTTTGAAATCAGGAAATGTGAGTCCTCCAACTTCACTCTTTTTCAAGATTGTTTTGACCAATTTTGAATCTCTTGCAATTCTACATGAATTTTAGAACCAGCTTGCCAATTCCTGCAATGAAGCAGGCTGGATTTCTGACAGGGATTGCATTGTATCTGCAGATCAGCTGGGGAGCATTGCTACCTCACCAAGAGTAAGTCACCTGATCTATAAACTGGTCCTTACATTGTCAACATTTCTTACTACCTCTGTTTTTGCCATTGTTCAGTCTCTTTTCACTTTATTGGTCATGTGTAAAAGAGGAGAATAGTAAGGAACTAGAGATCAAAGTATGGGAGTATGGACAAGGAACCATAATTAAGGAATAAAACATGGTTCCTGTGAATAAATCCAGGTAGAATAGTTTCCTGCAAGATCAATCTTTTGTGTTTGAGGGGAAATCCTAGAGGCATTCCATTCCAGTGCCTCATTTGGGGTCATGTCTCTTTCATATGCTGCAGCCCCGGGCTCCTATTTTTTCCTTTCTTTTTCTTTTTTTTATTGCTGTGGCTACCATGGCAACGGTTCACATGGGCTGGAAGAGAGAAGATGAGGCCTCCGTGGAGCCATCATTAGTGCCCCTGTGGCCAGCAGGGGGTGCCAAGAAGAGCAGGCACTTGCACCTTCTGTTTGTAAGTGTTCACAGCCACCCCCAGGAAAGCAGCGGACCTGCGACTAACCGAAGGTGGTGTGGGTACCACTACAGAAGGAAATTTTGAGCTCTCTGGAGAGGTTTTTTTTAAAGATTTGGGAGGATTTCACAAAGAATTCATAACCTAACACGATGTGTGAGTGATTAAATAGATAGTAAAATGAAAACCTCAAAATGTTCACTATAAAAGATAATCTTTCCAGCAATCAGAGATTATCTTCTTATTTTTACTTACTCATTTTTGCTACTCTGGTTTAATTTTTACATATCCTGCACTAAAAAGATTCACACAGGTTAGCTTCTCTTTGTGCGTAGTGGTTAGGCATCCCAAGGAATTAATAAATGTTTATTAAGGTGAATTCAAATGTCTGTTCTCTAGATACTGAAGCAAATTCTGTTTCCATTCAGTTAAGAGCAGTGGATCACCCACCAGTGCTTTCCTAGCACCATAGAATGAATTTCAAGAGGACACTGGGTTGTTATTTTACAATTCCATTACATATATGCATCAGAATATTGTACCTCACACACATAAGCATGCAGGCAGCTATTAAATTAAAATGTGATGCCAAATACACTTTAAAAGAACTGTGGAGAATAAAGTAATGGCCTTCTACCACCCTTTCCAAAATATCACATGGATAGATAGTCATGGATGTATATTTTGGGGTTTATATTATGTGGAATAATTTGCACATCTCTGGCTTGTGAGCTTGAAATCTTCAGATATTTGATGCCTGTGACTGGCAGTTTTTACCTTTGCAAATTCTTTGGTATGCAACCAGTGCTGCATGATACACAGAGTTGACTAAATATTTATCAAATATTCATACAGTTACTCAGCGGATTAATTATTGAACAAGCTTCCACTCAACCATCCTTCTTCTTGCTACAGCTAATTCTCTGTTGCTCCATTGACATATGTTCTGGGGAAGGCAGAGAAATAGCCAACTCAGCAACTTTTATCCCTTTTAAGATTATGCATTAAAGTGTGAGAAAGCCAGACACCCATGAAAGCCCACATCACTGATTTGGCGGTCTTAAAAGTTTAAGCATATAGATGAACCTCTCAATGGGTTTCTGTGTTTTGCTTTTGGAACAAATTTATATTTTAAGGCACTGTTTAATCATCTATTATCTGACAAAGAAGAAATTCTTTAAATGGTTAAATATAATTATTTCCATAGAGAATTATTATAGAATAGTCCCCTGTGCATCATTTCTTTGTTTTTGTTTTTGTTTTTTTTCTGTAGGAAACCCGGGCTAGCATCTGTAGTCCCATTTTACAGACGAAGCATTTGAGGTTCTGAGTTACTCACTGATTTTTCCCAAATTCACACAGCTGATAAGTGGGCACATTTGGCACTGAAACATGTTCTGCTTTATACCGTGCAGCATAGCTATCTGTGTATATTAAGGGAAAAATGGAAATATTTGCTACAGGGATCCATAGATTTTCATTTTAGCAATGTTTTCATCATTCTCTGTATTCAGAATTGAAATTACATTATGCACAATTCTTCTCTTCTTTTTGATAGGCTGTACCAAAAAGCAGTTACTGTTCCCATAAATGTAGATAAGAAATGGGGAGGAGGGAACTCAGAGATCTTTGTCTCCTCATAGAGCAGCTGTCAGGACCATGATGAGCAGGTCTTCAGTGATTAAGTGATTGTATCATCACCACCAGTCACCCTCAAATTGGTAACTTTAGAAACAGTTGTAGGAATAAGAAAGGTGGAGGTGGGAACCAACTTCTATTGATACTCAACTGTGGCATAGTCTTAAATAACCGGATTCTCTTTTGGATCTTTTTATGTTTGTTTATTTACAGTTAGCAGTTCTGGGTCTTTGTTGCCGTGCGGGCTTTTTCTAGCTGCAGTGAGTGGGGGCTACTCTCTGGTTACGGTGCATGGGATCTCAACACAGCGGCGGCTTCCGTGGCAGAGCACAGGCTCTAGGGCACACAGGCTTCAGTAGTCACACATGTGAGCTTAGCAGTTGTGGCTCCTGGGCTCTAGGGCACAGGCACAGTAGTTATGATGCCCAGGTTTAGCTGTCCCAAGGCATGTGGGATCTTCCTCTACCAGCGATCCAATCTGTGTCTCCTGCATTGGCAGGCAGATTCTTTACCCCTGAGCCACCAGGGAAGCCTTCTTTTAGATTTTTAACATAAAATTTGTACTTTCGGGAAAAATATCAGTTCCCTTACAGAGTTTGATTTCTGCCTTCTGTTAGTTCTAGGTAATTCATATCTCTTTCACAGAAGGACAAATCTCAAGCTACAATGCATGTATCATGCATCTCAGCATTTCTATATTGAATCAAATGCAGTGTTCCCATTTCCACACCTTTCAATTGGGTCATCAAGACTTTTTTCCATCAAACATTCTCAACAAGACCTTATTATGCACTACTATATGCTACATCTTATTATTTTTCCCTAACAACATTATCTGGAGAAGGCAATGGCACCCCACTCCAGTATTCTTGCCTGAAAAATTCCATGGACGGAGGAGCCTGGTAGGCTGCAGTCCATGGGGTCGCTAGGAGTCGGACACGACTGAGCAACTTCACTTTCCCTCTTCACTTTCATGCATTGGAGAAGGAAATGGCAACGTGCTCCAGTGTTCTTGCCTGGAGAATCCCAGGGACAGGGGAGCCTGGTGGGCTGCCGTCTATGGGGTCACACAGGGTAGGACACCACTGAAGCGACTTAGCAGCAGCAGCAGCAACAACATTATCATCATCTTCTTATTTTGGCAGTCTATTTAAAATCTTAAAACTAGGGATTTAAACAATATTCTTGGGATCAGAGTAAATAAAGATAACAAAACACTTGAACATGCTTCCAGATTATCCTTTTGTGAAGAAAGAATTTCAAACAAACTATTGTTCATATATGTGGTAATTAATATCTATTATAAATAGGTCAGGATTTCAAGGTTCCTGACCAACCATTAATTATGAATGTATTGTTTCAAATAAATAATAATACAGGTTATTTACAATATTATCAGCAGATGTGTTTGTGTTGTAAAACACCGATGGTATATTTAATTACTTGTAAGTAATACAAATGCGTGACATAAACTCTTGAGACTTCAAATGTGGAGATGGTTTGTGAAAAGCTTTGAAATCAACTGGCACATGCCATTCTTTCATTCAAGACAAATATGTGGGCAAATCAGCAGGAGTCCGTTCTGGCTTTCCCGAGAGTGCCCTGGAGCTGTCCACAGGAAGGTGCTGGAAAAGGCAGCCGCAGATGGTCTGGGTCCACAATTATTTCAGCCTGAAATGCAGCAGAATAATCAGACTCATGTTAGGGTATTGCTACAGTGTACATGACCTGGAAATTGCTTCATGAAGGCTTTCAGGGCCACCTTCAATCTCCTTTGATAATTACAAAGAAAAGATTTTTTTCTTCCTAAGAAACATTGAGAAGATTTACATAAGATAAGGAATCATTTATTTAGTCTCAGAGATTTAAATGACATTCCTAATAGGTACCTGGCTGAATTGCTAAATAACTGGCATTTTATTCCAGGAGATTTAAGATCTTTATTGAAGAATGTTAAGTTCAGACTCTATGGATGTTTCTAGAATTTCCAATTCCAGATTGGAAAATAAAAGACCATTTAAAAAATCTGCTATTTACCCCCAACAGAATCCCCCCTATGGTAAAGGTCAGGTGTAATATTCAAAAACAAATTAAAAGGCAGACATTCTATTGGACTCAGAAGATTCCAGCAAGCGATGGGCACCCATGGGCATTGGCTCAAAATGTGTTTATTGTGATCATACCCCAGTTGATGCTGCAAGCACTATTAAGGACCCTATTCACCACCATCCTTCTTGCATTATGTATGCAGTTATTGTTTTGCATTATGCACTATCTAAAATGATACAAAAACATTTTGCTGAAACATAAACCACTGGTTTTATGCTTAACACCAGGATTACAAAACGTGATGTCATGAATTATTCATATCACTCGATTTAATGTAATCATTTTCTCCCCAGTGCTAAGCCTCTGAATGGTGTCCTCTGCAGCTACTGTTTGGAAGAACTTAATACAAGGGGGAGAAACACCTGGCATTAACTGACAGTAAATTAGGCTCATTGTCACTTTGGGGGAAAAATTGCAATTTAATCTTTGATCTTCTACACATCCTAATTCCAAGGAACATTTATCAGCACTACAAAATGAACCAACCTTAGGAATTTATAGAAATATTGACCTCAACATTTAGACGCAGACATATATAAAAGTACACAGGCACATTTGAAATTTGAACTATAGAATGGAATTCATCTTTGTTTCTTTCAGAGCAACAGTGGGACCTATTTTGAATGTGTTTACACTAATAGCAAATAGATTTTGATACACATTTATAATTTATTTAGATCAAATCTTTCTAAGAAAGACTGACCTTAGGAGAAAGCATGTTGGGAAAGATAAATACAGCAATGCAACTTGGCCTGCAGATTAAAGTAATTTATCTTCAAGGCAGTCCAAAAATAAACAAACAAATAAAACCAAGAGAATAGAATGCTTCTGAATGTTTGAAACTCTTTAGAGAAAGCACGATCATTGGCATAAAACTGCTAGAAGCAACTTTTAAAACTCAGCATCTCCTTCTGGAGACCTATTTCTGACTTTGAATTTCAGGTTTTAACTAGAAAAGTTATAACAAAATGTTTCTATCACTCTTTAAAAAAAAAAACAATTTATTTATTTATTTGGTTGTACCAGGTCTTAGTTGCAGCATGTGGGATCTAGTTCCCTGACCAAGGATAGAACCCTGCATTGGGAACCACCAGGGAAGTCCCCATTTTTATTACTGTTAAATTATAAGATGCTTCGTTCTGGGATTGGATATATGACCAGGTTATAGTGAAAAGAGCAGAAATCCAACGAAGCTGATCCCTAACCCCAGCCCCCTTCAAAATCCAGCTCCTGAATATCTCAACATTGTGCTCTCAGCTACCCTGCTACCCTCACGATGGGCCTAGGGAGACTAAATGATATCATTTGAGGTAAAGCACATCCAAAACTCTGGCATGATCCACAAATATGAAGGGTTATCATTTTAAACCAAAATGTCTGTGATCCCTATATGTTTGTAATCTACAGAAGTGTTAGAAGGGTTAGGTAAAGATACTTATAAGTATCACTAAGAAAGTAAGAGAGTTTTTTTTTTTTAAAAAAGGAATTGACTTAATAAGAAGAAAAAAAAAAGCCTAACAATGTAAAAATCAAATGGTACCCAAATCTGTATGGAATATCTCACCCAGACAACCAGGAAAAGGAAGAAATGCTTGTACACAGTGCAGTCGAGATCACAATCCATTTCCAGGACAGTTTTATCTCTCATGGCACCTACTGTAGCATCTTGCATCTTAGTTGAGACTCAGCCCCTGTGGCCTGACTCAGAGCGAAGACAGCTACCATGGTCAACCAGTAATTAAAGGTTCATTTTTTATAAGGTCAATGTAAAATCTGTCAACTGCTCCTCTGTGATAACAAACGTCTGAAAAACTTGAAGCTCGGGCTTTACCAAATAATAACAATTGACAATGTTCATCACAGCAGTATTTTAAGGAGGTGAGGTGGGGGGAGGGGTTGGGGGGGAACAGAGGCAGAGTGGTGGATGGAAAGTTTTCCTTAAACTAATGGCTTATTTGCTTTGTTTCTGTAGCATGCTCTCTTTTCTACTTAATAGGTAAAGGAAAGTTTCTCTTTCCCCTAAATAAAAATTATTAGGCACTTTGTCTATTAATCTCAGAAGCAGGCTTCAGCTAGTCTCGTTAACATTGCGAACTGGGCCAGAAGAAACTGTGTCATGTTATATGAACTGCCTTCCTTTCATTTCAAGAGCACGTTGACCTTCTCTAGCATCCTGCACACCCATCAGGGTTCTCACCACTTCCCAGGGTGACCGTCTGGTCTCCCCAGAGTCCATCAGAACAGAGTGGTCCCTGGAGACAGTCTACACGGGAAGCCTCTGGGGTCAGCTTTTCATTTGCTCACTTACACACTCACTCATGGTTTATTTGGGAAAAAAAAAAAAATCGTGGCTTCAAATCCCCACCCCACCCCCCAAAAAATGTTTGTGCTTAAAAAAAAAAAATCTGGAGATCTGAGAACCAGAGCCGGTGCTTTAAGCACTCGGTGAAGCTACAGCCTAATTACTGCCTGCTGGGTGGCGCAGTTAAACACAATCAGTCAGAAAGCCTTAAAGATACAATATCCCTTTTCACAAACTGTCTGCTTGTCAATTCCAAGTCACCCCCTGCTTTAAATCAACCAACCACAGAGCTGTTATGAACAGCAACTGATTTTCCATGCAGTGCTGCAAAACAAAATCACACCGTATCCTATTTTTAATGGCCACAGTTTTTCAACTACATAACAAGAGTTAGCTGGCACTGCTGAGCTGAACGGTATCAAAAAATGGGTTCAAGTAGAAATAGCGTGGAACCCTTGAAGTGAACAAGTACAGACCCAATTACAAGTGCATTGTCATGCTCAGTACCAATTACATCGAAATAACAGTGGAGTGAATTTCCCCCTTAATAGTTATATTGTAGACATCAACTTCTTTTATTTTTGTTCCTCTAGGATACAGCTTGATACTTAAAAGGGGGGGGGAGGCTGAATCATAAATATTATTAACACAGTCTATTTATGCACAAAGGCTTTTCTATGATGTCAGCTTCTAAGCTGACATAGTACCTTGGTCACCACAGAGACGTGTTTTTCTTTCTTGCAGAGTTCATGATTTGTTGGAAATTTCACTTGGGAAAATCAGATTTTCTTCCTTGTGTACTGCTCCTTAGCAGCAATCTCTTCTCAAATACTCTTTTCAATTATCTGAGCCTTAGAGATATACACAGACAGTATCAGGATTTTTTTTTTTTTCTTTTTTAAGGAAACCTAGCCCCATCTCCAAAGTGTCAGTAAAATTAAGCATTCCACAAATTAAGGAACCTGCCACTTGGGCCCCTGGGGATGAGTACATGACAGGTGCCTTAATAGGTAGAGAAAAAAAGGAAAAGGAAACAGGAAAACAAACGAGGCTGAATGGGAGTTGAAGAGATGCAAAAGAAAGTGCAAATACCTAATTGGTCCTTAAAACCCAGAGACACTATACAAGAAAAGAAGAAGCAAGAGAGACCAGATTAAAGAAGAAGCAAGGGAAACCAACGAAAAGCAGCACTAGCGTATGTGAGGTATTTCATTAAGTATCAAAGAGTCAGAGAAACGAGGTGTCTTCAACGTCATGCTGTCAAACCCTGGGTCACATACCATCCTACTGGCCACTCTGCTGGAATGTTTTCCCACGGCAGCCAGCATTCACTTATTCTTTGGGTATTAACTTCACTTTCAGTTTCTTCCGGGCCAGGATGAGCACTAGAGTCATCCTCAGCAGCAGAGGGCCAGCCCCATCTTTTCATGGCTGGCCACTCAGGCTTAAGGAAGGCAGCGAGAGAAATTAATGATGTCTCCAGGGCTTCATCAACAGGCTTCAGAGGATGGAAGCACAGTTGGGAGCAAAGAGATCCTTTCTTTATTTGCCCCTTTGCTCTGCCCATTTTCTCTTTATTCGGAACCATGAGTCAGAGCACGTGATCCAAAATTTCCTACCAGTTTGGTATCCTGTCCTCTTTTCCAATTCAGTGTGAGCTTCATCCCTGAAACATGGTAAAACAGAAGAGGCTGTTTCAGATGTAAGATAAAATGAAGGTCTTTAAAAGTTTTCATTCAGAATAAAAGTTAAATAAGAGACATGCCCCTGATTCCAAATAAATGATTTCTTTTAGAAATCTATTTAGAAAACCCTCTCATTTTAGAGATGAGGAAACTGAGGCCTCGCATGACCATGGGTTTTACAGCACATTTGTCGTCAGAAAGCACCGGCGTCAACAGCCCTGACACCTGGCATTGATCCCAAGACTCGTGGTAGCGGGGGGATTGCTATTTATTGTCCATAGTGACTCACAAATCTAGGTTATGTGAACTATAAAAAGCCTGACTCAGAACTCCAGAGAGCAAGAAGCTAATACTACTTGAAATATAGGCCATGCATCGTGGTATGAGCATGTTTGTAAGATTATTTTTCAAAGCAGCATGGTCAAGACTGCATTGAATATAGTCAGACCTCCACTAATGAACAGACATCAGGAACTTCATGACATTAACTATTATTGTGATGACAATCCACATCTATACTTCCAGGCATTTTGGGTGAGAAGGAGGGAGAATCAGATTATGGCTCAGATTTGGGTGGTGGGGAGATGACCATAGGATGGGGATGGAGTTGGGGGTAGCCAGAGAGGGCAGGAGAAGCTGGGACCCCAGTCCCACCAGCAACCCAGGACCAAGTCTCTGCCTATCTCTGCTGGCTATCTCTTTGTCCCTCTGAAAGGTCAGGGAGAAAAGTTATAAATGTTTCACCTGCCCAAATTCAACGTCTCCCCTGAAATGTCAAATCAAGTCTGCCTTCAGGACCTCTGGATAATTTCAACCCTCCTTGCCTTGCCTCCAGTTTCCCCAGGCTTTGCCAATTGCTGACGTTTCTCGAGACTCTTGAGAGCTAAAGTGACCTAAAATGCAAATGCTTGGATGAGGTAATGTTTAATCAGTGAAATAAAAAATAGAACCAATCCATCAAAAGGAAAAGACTGATGTGTGATTTTCTTTTTTCCTGTTTTGATGGAGGAGAAAGTCTGTAAACAGTCAGAAGATACTGGCTACCTGACATAGTGGGGAGAAGAAATCAGTTACAAAAGAGAGGAAGCTGAAGACCCAGAAAGAACACTTCAACAGCACAGCACAGCAAGGATATGCAGGGAGACTTAGCATCCAGTATATTTTAATCTGCAGCTAGGAAAATGGAGTTTTATCCTCAAATGATTTAGGGAGATTTTTGTGGGGGTGTTTTGGGGATGTTATGCGAAGTTTTACTGTTTGCTGCTTCTGCTGTTTTTTTTTAAACATCACTTGCTTCCTATTTAACATCACTTGCTTCCTATAAAGAGAAATTTTTCCTTCAGGGGATTCTATCCCTGTAACTATATTGACTTAATTCTGAAGCACCAATGCAATTAAAAGACGGTTCTAATTAATAGGCAATAGAACGGTTGTATGTGAAAGATTTAAGCAGTTTATGCTTGGTGCACTAAACGAATCTGAACAGTCACCAAAGGCATCGGAGCTCCATTAGAATTTATCAGCTGAGATGCTTGGGATATTTTTCACACTGAGTAGTCACATTGCTCCCTGCCTTTGGGATTGGACCGAGAAGGGTTAAAAAGGTCAACATGTTTTGTTGTACTGGTGGCAGTAAAACGGCTTCTTGTTTCAGCTGAGAAGTGCCAGCAGCCGGAGCAAAAGCACCTCTGCTACAGGAATGCCACTTCTGACCTGCCGCAGGGAAACCTGATAGCATTGCTGTGTGATTTTCTAACAAGCACAGCGAGTAGGTCAGTCTTGGGCTTTGGGGTCAGACTCTGGTTTCCTATCTGACTCTGGCCACTTACAAGATGTAGAACCCTGGGTGGGTAACTTGCTGTCTCTGCTTCCGTGTCCTCATATGCAAAATGGGCTAAGAGCCTTTCTTCCTAGGGCAGTTGTGAATGACGTAAGTTAACTCACCTAAAGGACTCAGAATGATGTCTTGCAGTACCCTGAGCACTCTTTGTATTCTGCATTATTATTATCCAAGTCCGTCATTACAGATCTGCCGTGGTCTTGTAAAGAAACTGCATGACTAAGCATATTTCATATTTCATATATTTTGTCCTGTGGATCTAATCATGCATGGTCAGGGATGAAGGGAGAAAGGTTCTAAACTCTCATCTCCTAAATAAATAAAGAGCCCCAAAGGAATGCTGTACAAACTATTACAATTCCATTTTCTCTTCTTTTAACGCCCATGAGTTCTGAGCACTTGAAAAAAGATGATCCCTAGTTACCCACAGAGGCTAAATGCAGTAAATCTTAAATACTGTGTCATTATCACTTATTTACTTTTAAGCTAATGTCATTAATATTCTTACTCCTGCATGCAGTCTGTATGTAAATTAGCAAGAACAAGTATTATTTAGAAATGAAATTATTTAATCTCCTACCTCCTAGAGAACACCTTAGAAAAGTAACAAAGGTACAGAGAATTTTGGTCTTTGCATAAATCTAAGATGAGAAGTTATGAAGTAAGGAGGTAAGGGGGGACCAAGGATAATTTTCCCAGTCTTGGTGGCTGCCCAGCTTCTGAATTCTCTGCCTGTGTTTCAAGAAGTCTTATTTGGTGTGGTGAGCTATCTTTACAGGATTTCCCAGGTGGTTCAGTAGTTAAAAATCTGCCTGCCAATGCAGGAGATTCAGGTTCAATCCCCGGGTAGGGAAGATCCCCTAGAGAAGGGAAATGGCAATCCATTCCAGTATTCTTGCCTGGAGAGTCCCATGGATAGAGGACTCTGTCAGGCTACAGTCCATGAGGTTTTCTAGAAGTTGGACATGATTGAGCATGCATGCCATCTCCACAGCCATTATACCTGCAGGAGTCCTAGCATTTACCAAAAGCTGGACTAGGATGGGCTGGATAGCCTCTCTGCAGCATCCAGGAAGTGATTGCTGTGATGCTGGGAGCAGCTCCAGCCTCCAGATTCTGCAGGGGAGGAAGTAAATCTCTTGGGGTACAGTGCCCATGCCAGTGATCTCTTCACTGGAAACAAATTGAAATGTGACACTGGCTCATTCCTGACTGCTTAAGCTCTGGGGTTAGTTTTCTAGCCCTGGTGGAGATTCTGTAAACTACCCAATTTATCTTTTTGAAAGAAAGTGAAATTTGCTCAGTCATGTCCGACTCTTTGCGACCCCATGAACTACAGTCCATGAAATTCTCTAGGCCAGAATACTGGAGTGGGTAGCCTTTCCCTTCTCCAGGAGATCTTCCCAACCTGGGGATCGAACCCAGGTCTCCCACATTGCAGGTGGATTCTTTTCCAGCTGAGCCTTTTTAGTAAATTTCTTTTCTGCATACATCAGTGACAGTAAGTTTCTATTGCTTACAGCTAGAGACTTTGGTGGTCTGATATAGTGGCCCTGGATTTTCTTTCATTTTAGCCAGTGAGTGCTTGCTGAGTTGCTTCAGTCATGTCTGACTCTGTGTGACCCTATGGACTGTAGCCCTCCAGACTCCTCTGTCCATGGGATTCTCCAGACAAGGATACTAGAGTGGGTTGCCATGCCCTCCTCCAGAGGATCTTCCCAGCCCAGAGATCTAACTCATGTCTCATATGTTTCCTGCATTGGCAGGCAGGTTCTTTACCACAAGCACCACCTGAGAAGCCCTTTTTGAGCCAGACACTCTCATAAATCTTGAAAAGTAGGAAGTGAAGTGAAGTAACCTAAGAAGTTTTCCCTGGACTCTTCCTGATGAGAGTATATCGGGAAATTGCAAGAAATTTCTCAGTGCCAAGTATTGGGAAAGATAGTCTTGACCCCAGTAGGTCAAAGCTAGGATAATCATGCAATAACAGTGTAGGAAAACTATCACCTAAGGATGGTCCATAGGCTAGTTCTCCAGCTTGCTGATTCCAGGCTGAAATAAGATAGAGGAACTGTAAGCCCCTTTTCCTTCAATAATCCAATATGCTCCTCAGGAAAGTGTTAACCTTTTCTGTAGTAAATGTCCCCAGGGACTTCACCATGGAGTAGTAAGCTAGATTAGATTACATCTAAGATCCCTTCCCAATATAGTATGTTATTCAAGCTTTGGAAGACCTAAAGTACAAAACATTATCTGATGTCCACTAGCTATAATTTTAAACTTCAGTACCACCTACTACCTAATGGGAAGGAGAAAGAATATTTGACATCACCAGTAAAATATCATGTGTGTTCACCAATTTTTCTTACCTAAGTTTTCAAGAAGGACTATATTCAACACCTAATAGGAACTCAATCAATACCGCTCTGAATTGAACTAAATTATGTCCACGGCTTCATTCAGCCAAGAACATTTTTTCCATTTTTCAGCTTATCATCCTCACTGGTTCCCTGACTCTATGTTCACCTTCTTCCTGACCCTAAATTCATTGGCATTGCTTTAATCACTCAGTGTTCTTTGTCTATCTCCTACAGACAAACACATCTCAGCTTCAACCTGACCCCAGATCATCAATATTTTTTTCCAACTTTTTTTCTTCCTTTTCATCCATCTAGTCCAAAAACCAACTAGTCTCCAATTGCCCGAGCCCCTTTCTCAGAGTAGAGGGTCAGAAAATGTTTGTTGAATAAATAGGTCACTATCTCATAATGACTTTTTTAAAACTCATTGGCTAAATAAAAAGTTTATCATTTTTCTGATATTTCCTGATGTTAATGAGCACCTATTTTAAACTCCTCTTGACAGGTTAAAAAAAAAAAAACTGATTTAAGATCTTTAAAACATCACTTAACATTTGTAATTTTTATTTTGGGTCCAAGAATATGCCTAGAAATAAAACTTAAGAGGCTGTCTGTGGTCAATATTCTATAAACTTTGAAAATGATAGCTGATATTCAAAACTGTTATTCATAGCTTATCATATTCCTCAAATTATGTGATACAACAATGAGGATTAGCATTGCTGTAGGCAAAGCTTACAAATAAATGCCTCTTTTCATAACACTAAATAAATGAAGACTATGCCCTTTATTAATGAACCAGGGTCAATTTGATCTTGTATAAAAAGGTACTGGTGTTACATGATTAAGTTTGGGACTTCCACGGTGCCTCAGGTGGTAAAAAATCTGCCTGCAATGTGGGAGACCTGGGTTCAGTCCCTGGGTTGGGAAGATCCCTTGGAAGAGGGCACGGCAACCCTCTCCAGTATTCTGGCCTGGAGAATTCCATGGACATCGGAGCCTGGGGGGGCTACAGTCCATGGGGTTGCAAAGAGTCGGACATGACTGAGCGACTTTCACTTTTCCAATTTGCATTTGAACACTGAAAGTACTAGTTAAGTTATAAGTATCTCATCTTAATCACTCCATCACATTATTTAGGGAAATAGTGCTATTTCCACTTTCATCACAATTGCCCAGTTGTTTGACAAGATATAGAGGAGCTGGATTCATTGAAAGGATGACAGCAAGTAGCCTTTAAAAATTTTAGCCACTAAAAAAGCATTTCTATTAATTTTTATCTTTCTTCCTTCAGACATTAATAAATAGTTCCAGTGATAATTAGCAATCTTCCCTAATTACAGAAAATTGGCACTTCACAAATAATAAACTCTGATATTATCTAGTATAGTGCCAGTTTTCCTATTAATTTGGAAATTCAGCAATTATCACCAGTACCACATAGGTTAAAGTGTGTTGGATCCTGGGTAAACACCTTAAAATACCCAGCAATACAAGGTTTATTGACAAGGAAAGTTCAACATCGACTTTTAAAGAGAAAAATTTATTAGTGAGCACCCCTTGCTATTGCAGCTCTGTGGGAAGATGTTCCCACTTTGTTTTATTTCAGTCCAGCCCCTCAGATGACAGCAGTTGCAGAATCTGGACAATGTGCCTCATGGTCAGTTGGAAGAAAACAGCAACAAAAATGTAAATTCTCAAATTGGAAAGTGGCATATTCAAAAGTGCTGTATCCGGTCTTAAACGGAAGTTGACATCAGTTTTCTTTTCTGGAGACAGAAATTCTCCAGGACCTTTGTTGGGTGAGAAATAATTGATGCACTTATGTACTTATCAATTCCTAACATGCAAATACTTTTCCTGAATGCAAACCAATCTCTATGTGAACTGTGTTCTTGGGGTTCACCTTGCTGTTAAGAAGTCAGGAGTTGGAGAAGTGCAGAATAACTCAGTTCATTTTGTAATAGCTTGTTTCCTGCTGGCCCATCACAAGCCCCTAATTAACTCTGGTTAACACTAGGAGTCATCAGATTGACTCTTACTTTTTCATCTTAATGTGTGTCAGGATTACTCTCAGCAGAATGTCACTTAGTTTTATCTGGAACCCATCCTCAGAAGTTCAACAGCTGAAAGCAAATGCTTGTCTAGGCTTCTCAGCTTTCAGAAGTCTTTCCTGAACTCAGCAATTCTGAGACCAAAATTTAGGCTGCATTTGCATGGCATAAAAATAACTATTTTTTTTCTGAAATGTAGAAAATTCAGTCAACTGAATCAATCCACAGGAAGCCAAATCAGTTTGACAGATTTTTTTCCCATTAAATTGACATGTGTTATGTGTGTTATTCAATTCTCCTTCAAAAAAAAAAAAAAAAGGTCAGGTGACAAGGGTGGTCAGATGTCTATTACTGTGATAAATAAAACTAGGGACTTCCGAGGTGGCTCAGTGGTAAAGAATCTGCCTGCCAATGCAGGAGATGCAAGAGACATGGGTTCAATCCCTGGGTTGGGAAGATCTCCTGGAGGAGGAAGTGGTAACCCACTCCAATATTTTTGCCTGGAAAATTCCATGGACAGAGGAGCCTGGAAGTCTACAGTCCAAGAGGTCACAAAGAGTTGGACACTACTGAGCACACACACATACACACACAAATAAAATGACAGTTTCTGATAATGCCATTCAGCAATTAAGAACATATGGAAAATCAAACTATGACTATGTTGGAAAGCATCACAATTGATTTTCCCCTTTCATGGAGGGAAGACAAGAGTGGAAGTGAACTTAAATTCCAACAAAAGTTATTTAATATATTCTACTCTATATAAAATATCTAACCAGCAAGGATCTCTATATAATACAGAGAACTCTACTCAGCATTCTGTGATAACTTTTTGATGAGAAAAGAGTCTAAAAAAGAATGAATACATTGTTTATGTGAGTTAAATCTTTATCTTGCATCATGTGGCATCATAAGACAGCATAGCATTTAAAAATCAAGAAACAAGAGTATGACCATACTACTTAAAATTATGAGCATACAACCAATGAAGCTAACAGCAGACACCCAAACTTGTCACCTCTGGGGAGTAAGAATAGAGTAGGTGGGTGGGAGAACTTCTTCTCATTCACTTTTGAACCGTTTGATCTAAAATAAAATGATAAATTAAAATGTATGTTTTGCCAAAAACAGAAGCATATGTGTGGATGAGACGTAAAGATAGAAATTGGAATATAACATATTTCCAGTAAGAGTAACAGGTAAAGGAGAGTCTGAAAGTTTAGATCCTATTTTTTTCTTCCATCACCAGGCTGCCTTCGCTATAGTTGACTGATTCAGGCTGACCATGGAACCAGGACTTGTATAGTCATAGCACCACGTTGGTCCTTGCTCCAACCTCTTTTTTTCAAAACACCTATCAAGGCTTTGTCATAAACTGTTACCTCCTTTCCCACTTTGTTTTGTGGTTGTTGAATTAAGAGAATTATTTGGATTAGTGCACATGTTCCCTCATCTGCTTTTATAATAATAAATATAAATGATCTGACATATGCAGAGAACCTAAAACACAGTAGACATCTAATAAACGTAAATTTCCTTTTCTCTGCCTGGGCTTCTGAACCCACTCATTACTTTTCAATGGAAGATTTAAGGAGGGAGATATGATTAAATTGAACTTTAAGGACGGCAATTAAGCACTGCCATTTTCTTAAAACTTATGTCCTTTTATTACTAGAGTCCATAACTGATATTTGTTATCCAGAACTTTTGTTAATACATAAGTACTCCTTTTTATTTGTATGTTTGAAAAGAACTTCCCCAGTGGCTTCCCAGGTGACTAAGCTGTAAAGAATCTACCTGCTATGCAGGAGTCATAAGAGATGCAGATTCGATTGCTGGGTGGGGAAGATCCCCTGGAGTAGGACATGGCAACCCACTCCAGTATTCTTGCCTAAGAAATCCCATGGACAGAGGAGCCTGGAGGGCTATAGTCCAAAGGGTCACAAAGAGTCCGATAGGACTGAAGCAACTTAGCACACATAAGAACTGGTATATTGACATTATTTTAGTGTATAATATTCTCAAAAGGATGTTCAGTAGTTTCTGTGGAGTATTTAAGAGGCTACCTAGATTCAGGAGCACCCAAACAGTTACCATCTATGGAGGATCAAAGTCACACCATCATGTTAGGACAAATTGAGAAAACAAGGGATGAGAATTCAGAGTTCTTGAATACTTTTGTTTGGTTGCTCTTACTGTATGCAATGAAAAACAAATCCTTTTGTGATTCAAACATTAAAAAAGAAAACATTCTAGAGAGCTCTCACTGTCATCAATTATGTATATTGCTGAAAATGTTAAATTCTTGTAGTTATTTTCTTAGCCACATGGACAGTTTATTCTTAGCAATGACAGCTAACAACACTCTCTCTTTTGCAGAATTAGTTGTGTAATCACTAAGGCTGGCCCGCCAGGCTCCTCTGACCATGGGATTTCCCAGGCAAGATTATTGGAGTCGGTTGCCATTTCCTTCTCCAGGAGATCTTCCCGACCCCAGGGATCAAGCCGCATCTCCTGCATTGCAGGTGGATTCTTTACTGATTAAGCCACCAGGGAAGCCCTTCAGTTAGTGGAGTGTTAGCTAACAGATGAACAAAGACATCAGGATACCTGGCTGAACTTTCCTAGTTTCTTCAGGATTCCTGGAATCACAGAGGTGTTGAAATAATCCCTTTGAGTCAGAGGCATTCTACTCTCTGGTAAATGACTGGTGAGCATCTGCTTAAGGAGTTCACTCGAAAGAAATTTGATGAAAGACAATGCCTTGATCGCCTACAGTCTTGCTCAGTTTATGCACATTGGGCTCCGGATAGGAAAAAAGGAACTTACCAGAGCATGAACCAAGCATCTGAACTATTTTTCACCCCCACTTCAATTCTGAACCCTTTGAAAAATAGGAGTGTAAAGTAATGCTGTGAGACTTAGAAAATGAACTTATGGTCACTGGGAGAAAGGGATAGTTAGGGAGTCGGGGATAGACAGGTACCCACCGCTATATTTAAAATGGATAACCAACAAGGATCTATTGCATAGGTCAGGGAAATGCTCAGTGTTATGTGGCAGCCTGGATGGGAGAGGGCTTTGGGAGAGGATGGATACATGTGTATCCATAGCTGAGGCCCTTCACTGTTCACCTGAATCTACCACGTTGTCAGTGGGCTATTCCCCAACACAAAATAAAAAGTTCAAAAAACAATAAAATAATGTTATAAAAAAAAACTAATCTCAGTTGTCATAATCTAAAAGACACTGTGCTGTAGGGAAATAATCACCTGAGAATTTTCTTTAAAAAGAACACACTTACCAGATATATTAGCTTCATACTTGGTTTCCTTCAATGTCAGGTGTCACACTTTATAATGTGGGATATCTCTGCTTACACGGAGCTATTTCAATAAGGTTGTTGAAATTCAGATTGTGAAGCCCACTAGTCACTGGCTTATGGAATTTTTATATTGATATATTCCTCTACAAAAAAAAAGCAAAAACAAAAACAACTTAATCTGTGGATAGAGTGAGTGCTACCTATTTGTAAAATCCCAAATGAGTCTCCTTGTGCCAAAGCCTATTATCTTACCATTACAGTCCCATGTCTTTGAGTCCTAAAAACTTTCTGTATTCAGAAGTTCCCTATTATACTTGTATGCACAGCTCTTGAAGCTTGTGTTTCTAAAATTGTAGTAGATCTACCACCTGGCACATGCAGAATTGTGTCAAGGGAATGAGAAGCTATATAATAAATATGACATCTCCTCCTGGAAAATAAATTTCACTTGAAGATTTTAAGGCAGTAATTTAAATGAAAATTTAAACATTTTTATATTGAAATATATATATGTATATATATATATTTATATTATTGAAGAGAATTCTAAGTGTGTGTGAATTGTTTGGCTAAAACCCAAAACTTTGAATAATTTTGAGGATATGGAGTTTGTGCTAGTGATTTTTATTTGTTTATTTCAAGTGGCACAAAGGACCTAGGTGACTTAAAAGCAAAAGGAACATATTTGCTTTATATAAATGAAAAGTGCAGGAACAGGACTGGTTTCAAGTATAGCTTGTCCAGAGGCTCAAAAAAATGTCTCCTAGACTTTGTTTATTTTCATCCTCTCTCAGAATATTCTCTCCTCCACATTGACTTCATTCTTATAATCAGAAGATGAGTGCCAAAATTTCAGGCTGTACATCTTCTCTGTCTTAAATAACAGGGGAAATAAAGCAAGCCTTTCTCCTAGAAATCTCAGGAAAAAAGACACCGTGAATCTCACTGATTCCAGTTGGGTCACCGAATGAATCGTGGTGGCCAGTTATAGAATTAGCCAAACCTCACAGCCCCCTAGAACTTCAATGGAAGTCTATAAATTGACAGTGAAAGAATTCCCACCCTACTAGAAAAATTATGGGATGTTTTCCAGAATAAAAATGAATTAGGGGACTTCCCTGGTGGTCCAGTGGCTAAGACTTCATGCTCCCAGTGCAAGGAGTCTGGGTTCGATCCCTGGTCAGGGAACTGGATCCCACAAGCCACAACCAAGAGTTCGCATGGCACGACTGAAGGTCCTGCAGGCTGCATCTAAGACTGGTGCCACCAAAATAAATAAATAAAATTTTTAAAGTGAATAATGCTACGTGGCATGTTTTACATACACACGCATCGCTGTTACCATACCTCATCTCATATACACATACACCTTCCCAAGTTCAGTTCTGTGTCTCAAGAGGTATGCTGGTGGAAAAAATCTGAGACACATTGTTTTAACTTACCCACCCAAACTTTAGTAGGGATTAACAGCTTGTGGAATCTAGCCATGCTCACCGGCAATAGAAGTACTCAGGTTAGTAGGGCTTCTCAAGTGGCTCAGTGGTAAAGAATCCATCTGCCAATACAAGAGCGGTGAGTTTGATCCCTTGGTCTGGAAGATCCCCTGGAGAAGCACGTGGCAACCCACTCCAGTATTCTTGCCTGGAAAATCCCATGGACAGAGGAGTCTGGTGGGCTACAGTCATAGGGTTACAAGGGTCAGACATGACTTAGCGATTAAACCACCACCTGGATTAGAGGCTTCCAACACTATACTGACATCAGAGTGCATCAGGGTGCATCAGAGACCCTTAACTGTGTCCCCGCTGACTCCTGATTTCCTTTATTTCTTGTCTCACCTAATGACTTGCTGTGTGTGTTAGTCACTCAGTTGTATCCGACTGTTTGGGATTCCATGGACTGTAGCCTGCCAGGCTCCTCTGTCCATGGGATTCTCCAGGCAAGAATATTGGAGTGGATTGCCATTCTCTTCTCCAGAGGATCTTCCCAACCCAGGAGTTAAACCTGGGCCTCCACATTGCAGGCAGATTCTTTATTGACTGAGCTCCCAGGGAAGCCTAATGACTTGATGATGAAAGGTAAACCTTGCTGACTTAGCATAGGCAGAGCTGGAGGAGTATTTTCAGGACAAGAGGCTATTTTGAACTCATCTTCAAGGTTGGCCAAGACAATTGCAAATGGTATAATGAACCATGACAATGACATTGCAGAGAGTTGCAAAGTGCAGGATTATCAGTGCTGAATTCAAAGAGCATCTGACCCCCTGGGCAGATCATACAACTGGGAAATTCTTTACTAACTGGGTGAACCTGTTTCTCTTACAAATTCAATAGCGGTGAGTTTTATTCCATGTACTATAAGCAGCACTATATTTTCCCTCACTCTTTTTTCTCCAAAAGCCTCAAGAGACTACATTAAGAGTATGGTAGGCAATTCGTTGTCTGGTTAACCACTTGTTAAATATAGGTCAGGCAGTGGATCTTGTCAGTTGTCTATCCATTATCCAGTCTTTTCTTCTCTTTATTAGGAGAGAATACAGATTTTGTTCAAGGTGGCAATGTGCCCAGAAAAATAAACCTTCCATTTGTTGTTCAGTCGCTCAGTTGTGTTCAACTCTTTGCAACCTTATGGACTGCAGCACAACAGCCTTCCCTGTCCTTCACTATCTCCTGGAGTTTGCTCAAACTCATGTCCACTGAGTCAATGATGCCATTGAACCATCTCATCCTCTGTCATCCCCTTCTTCTCCTGCCTTCAATCTTTCCCAGCATCAGTGTCTTTTCCAATGAGTCGACTCTTCGCATCAGTGGCCAAAGCATCGGCGCTTCAGGTTAAGTATCAGTCCTTCCAATGAATATTTAGGTTGATTTCCTTTAGGATTGACTGCTTTGATCTTGCAGTCCAAGGGTCTCTCAAGTATCTTCTCCAGAACTACAGTTCAAAAGCATCACTTCTTCAGCGCTCAGCCTTCTACACAGTCTAACTCACACATCCATACATGACTACTGGAACCTTCCATAATTCCAACCTTAGTCACAGATCAAGGTGACCTTTGGGCACACTTCTGTCCACAGAGAGATAAGCAGAAGGTTTCTGTGGATTTCTGGAAATATTTTCAAATTTTGGTAGTACCGCCCCTTTTTGTCCCATTTCAGTGACTGCCTGACATACAGACAGCAAGGTTGAGCCGAAGCTGCCATGCTGTGACCCTGGGGGTAAAACCACATGTGTGTCCAGGTAAGTACAGGGCAGGAAAGAGCCTAGAGCAATGACAGAATGTGCTGTCTCGTCTTAACAGTTAGATGAAAACCTTAATATATGTTGTATGAAGCTGCAATAATTGAGTTTCCTTCTATTTCAGGCAGTCAAACATATTCTTAGTCAATAAAGTCCATTTTAAAAAATCCTGCAAAATCTATTGATTTCTCACAATAGCAGAAAAAAATTAGTTCAAAATAACTCGTTCCATTGGGAGTTCAGCCTGTAAAATTTCTCCCCATTTTCCAAGGCCTTATTAATACTGACATCTTGGACAAGCTTTCTGAAATTCACTGTCTCCATCTCTAGAGTGCCATTAACATATGACTTAACATATTACTTATTTATTACTTATTTCCTAAGGTGGTCATGAGGATTAAATAGAATAATCTGTAAATATTCCCTGGTAAAATATAAGCACTAAAAATAGGAATTCATTTTTGCAAATTATTATTGCATAATCTTGACTAGAAAAAGCACATCCAAAGGCACACGTGCTTGTGTTCAGTCACTCAGTCGTGTCTGACTCTTCGTGACCCCATGGACTGCAGCCCGTCAGGTTCCTCTGTCCATGGGATTCTCCAGGCAAGAATACCGGAGAGGTTGCCTTCTCCAGGGGAATCTTCCCAACCCAGGAATGGAACCCACATCTCTTGCATCTCATGCATTGGCAGGTGAATTCTTTACCACTAGCGCCACCTGGGAAGCCAAAAAAGCACATAGTAAACCCCTAATAGGCATCTATGAATAAACATTTAACAGTGGTTGTGTAGTTGTTGGAAGCAAAAGAGCTAGTGATTCTTTTCTCCCTTTTTCTGCATTTTCTAAATTTTATTGAATAAATGTATTTATTGTTTTATAAGAACATTTGATTCACCTCTTCATGCACTCTAAATCCCTAATGATCAAAATACATATATATAATACTTAGTATAATATAATTTCATTTAACAAATATGTTTAATAAATGTTTAATATATTTATCTCATGTTTATAAAGTGTAGATTTATAACATAGTTGAAGCTTTATTTAAAAGGCTGAGTATGTTAGAGCAAAGGGGAAAATGCAATGATGCCTGTATGAATACAAACACATAGGCACATAGACATACACAAACAGACACAAATTATAATAATAAGCTATTTGAACAAGACACCCCTAAACCATGGCATCAGGAGTTTAAAAATAAATATGTATTCTATAAATAAAGCAAGTATGACAATATTACTATCTGACACAAAATTCAAGGTGACAAGCATCAAATAGAACAAAGGTAAATATTTCATACTGCCAAATTGAATAATCCACTATAGAGAAATAACAATTTTGAACTTTTATGAACCTCACTGAACGGCTTTGAAATATATAATAGAAAAACATTATATAAAAGGGAAAAAAAATCTACAATCATAGTTGAAGATTTATTGTTCCTCTTTCAAAAATCAACAAATCAAGCAAGACTGCAAAGAGCTTCAATTATATAATTAATAATTAATAATATGATCTGTTTTTACATAATAAAATATAGCAAATATTATGCTGCTATATTAAGAATTAAGAATTTCTGTGTATGAAAAGTAGAATAAAAATAAAAAGACACAGCAAACACTTGTAATGTTAAATAGGAGTTAGTATTAAATCATGAACTTTTTTTTTTAAGTGTGAGGGAATTGATTACCAGTTATTGTGCCTTGCAAGAAATGTTAAAAGCTCTTTAGAAGGAAGGAATATAATATTGGTAAGAAATTTAAATTTATATAAAGAAAGGGAGAGCACTGAAAACAGAGTAAGTGGAGGTAAACTAAAACCCTTTATTTTACTTTTACTTGGTTCTTAATTGATCTAGTAGATAACATTTTTTTTTCCAAAACAATAGCAACAATGTATTATAATTTGTGTGTGTGTGCGAAGTTGCTCAGTTGTGTCCTACTCCTTGCTACCCTATAGACTGTAGCCCGCCAGGCTCCTCTGTCCACGGGATTCTCCAGGCAAAAATACTGGAGTGGGTTGCCATGCCCTCCTTCAAGGGACCTTCCTGACCCAAGGATCAAACCTTCATTTCAAATCTCCTGCATTGGCAGGCGGGTTCTTTACCACTAGCACCACCTAGGAAGCCTCTATACAGGTATTTGGGAATGCTTATATGTAAGTGAAGTGAATGACAACAGTGATACAAGGAATGAGGGAGAAGGAATTAGGGTAATTTTACTGTAATAAGGTACTCATTACCAGTGAAGTGGCATAGCTTTCTTTAAAAGTGAGCTTGGATTAGTTGTAAATATATACTGCAAACTCTAGGGCAAGAACTAAGAAAAAAAAATGAAGTACAACTGCTATGCTAAGAAAGGAGAGAAAATAGGATCATCTAAAATACTCAGTTAAAACCAAAGGCAGAGGGACTTTCCTGGCCATCTAGTGGTTGCGACTAACACCTTCCAGTGCAGGGGGGTGTGGGTACGATCCCTGGTTGGAGGGTTGAGATCCCACATACCTCGTGCCCAAAAAACCAGAACATAGAATGGGAGCAATATTGTGACAAATTCAATAAAGTCTTTAAAAATGGTCCACATCAAAAAAAAAAAGTCTTAAAAAAAAGACAGAAAAAGAATGAAAGACAAAAAGAACAGAGAACAAGAGTTACAACTAGTAAAATGTAACAAATATGGTAGAAATTAATGCAAGCATATCAATGACCACTTTGAACACTGACAGTATAAAAGCACCAGTTAAAAGACAGAGATTGTCAGGAATTCCCTGGTGGTCCAGCGATTAGGGCTTGGTGCTTTCACTGCAGGGGTTCAGGTTTGATCCCTGGTCAGTGAACTAAGAGCCCACATGTAAAAAATAAATAAATAAATAAAATTAAATTAAATTAAAGACAGATGTTCAAAGTAGGTCGATGAACAGGACCCAACTGTGTGTCATTTACAAGAAGCCCATATTATATATATTGGGTACATTAAATTAAAAATAAATGGATGGGAAAATATCTACCATGCTAATACCAATCAAAAGAAGGACCAGCTGTATTAATCTCAGACAGAGCAAACTTCAAAGAAAGGAGAGTTAGAAGGGATAAAGATAAAGAGGGAATTATATAATGGTAAAGGAGTCAATTCTCCAAGAAGACATAACAATCTTTAATGTGTATGCACCTAAGAGCAGGGCATCTAAATATGTGAGGAAAAAATTGATAACACTGCAAGGAGAATAAATGAATCCACCATCATAGTTGGAGACGTCAACACCCTTCTATCACAGATGGAAAGATTCAGCAGGCAAAAAAAAATCAATAAGGACTTAGTTGAACTCAACAGCACCA